CAACTACTCGCCGTTTTCCCGTTTTCGCGTTTTCGCCGTTTTCGCGTTTTCGCCGTTTTCGCGCCGATGCGGTGTTCTAGAAAACCGTGAGCTGTGTCAAATCCAAGCACTTTGTTTCCGCCGTTTTCGCCGTTTTCGCGTTTTCGCGGTTTTCGCGTTTTCGCGTGGCCTGCCCCCGCATCACCGGGGGCCGAGACACACGTTTCGTATGCACAGTAGGTCCACCGGGTGTGTGTCGATGCTTGGCGCTTCAACCTCCGCGCCTGAGGTGTGGATCTTGGCCACCCTGAAGTTGGCGCTCTTCCTTTGTGAGCGCACGGTGTCGTGGTCCACTCACCTGCCGGATCGCTTCGTGTCCATGCTGGTGTTCTGGGCCATAGAGGCGGGGTGAGGGAGAGTCGGCCAGTAGTAACAAGGGGGCATTCGACTAGCAGCAAGAAGCTACGAGTAGCAATGCACCTGTTACTAGTAGCTTCTAGCTAGATGAAATAGAAGACTGAAGGATGGTACGGAATTATGTAAGTAATTATTGTTTTCACTGGCTCAGCCAAGCCAAGCCCGAGTGACAGGGTCTGGCACAGCTAAGACAGCTAAGATCGTTTGTGGGATGAGTGCCCCATACACCATTCCCAGCCCAAACATAACACAATCGAAAAAGAACAACCAAACCAACTCCTCTCTTCCGAGCCCGGCCGAGCTGGGCTCGGCCCCGCCGCAGATCTTCCTGGCTGGCGGCTATTTGCTGACACACTATGTGTACCGGACGAACATTTGGAGCATCCTTGGCTGGCGACTGGGCGGTTCGACCGAACCCATGGGCCACGTCGCGGGGATGCGACGGAAGGTGGAAGACGTGGGGGGCGAACGACCTGTGAAGGGTCTTAGGAAGCTATCACTTCCTGCAATTTTAAATGCAAGATACTATGGCAGATACTATTGCATAATTGCATGAGTTGGATTCGTTATTCTGTATATAACATTATATTAAATATGACATATGCATACACGATATGTGTGTATATATACAATGTACTATGGACCATCGACAAATCCAGACGATGACCCTGTTCCTGTAGTCTGTAGTGTTTTTTCCTCGAGCGATGTTCTATTCAATCATTTTTGACCTCAGATGACTTCTGACCCAACATTTCATTAACGATTCTTCTGGCACAGCTTGGCGCGGTGTGAGGACCTCCCAACCTTGGCGCCTCCCTTTGAGGTTGGTCTTCACGATCCTCTTGACCTATGGTTTCTTCACCCGCCTCACGAACCCCTCGTTTCACGCTCCGGCGCCCTAAAGGGCGGCGCGACGGATCTCCAAAGAGGGATCGAAGCTGGCTGAGTCGAGCTGGCTGAGTCGGCGATGAAAAAGGGGGCGCTTAGAGCGCTTGCGCAAAGCGCTTGCCGCGTGGTGCCTAAGAAGTGGGTGGTGCAAGAGGCATGATGCACAGTGGCGAACGGAGGGGCAACACCAAAACTGGATGTGCAGTTGGTGAATTCAACTGTGCTGAGGGACAACCTCACATCACAACCAAAAAACTCGAGCATTTTGATCTTGACCTTTGCAATGCTTTCTTACTTACTTCTCCAGTCTTTCCCGGATTCTCTGGTTGCCCACATTGGAAGAGGGCTCGTGCTTGCTGTGAAGAGTCGCTGCCCGCCACTGCCCGTCGCCCCTGAGGTTCTGCTTGATGGGCTACGTGGCCGCGCTCTTCGTCCGTGCCCGGCACCTCATGGCCATGGGCGCCGCTGGCGATGCGGATGCCATGACATCGGCGAATGCGGTGTCTGGGCACGAAGTGACAGAGTTGGGGCCCTGGCCGGACCGTAGGTTGTTGAAGTTGCAAATTAGCTGGATCCATGGAGAAAGCATCTCACTCCCTCCCTGTGTCTGTCGGTCAGTCGGTCAGTCGGTCTGTCTCTGTCTCTGTCTCTGTCTCTGTCTGTGTCCGTGTCGGTGTCTGTGTCTGTGTCTGTGTCTGTGTCTGTGTCTCTCTCTCTCTCTCTCTCTTTCTCTCTCGCGCGCTCTCGCTCGTGCTCTCGCTACCTAAACATCGGAGAACTGGCCGGAGCATAAACGTGTGGATGCAAATGAGATATCACCCCTCCAACTTCAGGGTAGGGTGGAAAGCCTGATTCAGGGGTTGGGAAAACCACGTGGGAGCTGTGGAATGGCGGGCTCGCTCTCAACTCCAGAGCCTTAGACTTGCATGCCAGGTCTTGCAACTTTTTGGGCGTCTCTTTCATTGGGGTGCGGCAATGCAGCAATGCAAACACACCCGGCCTTAAGGATTTGTCCTACATCGAGCCCATCCTCGGGAAGGAGATGCCCAGCTGCAGTGGACGCCCCGCCAACCCTTCCGCCTCGCGGCGTCCGTCCGAGCTCGCTCCGGGCGAGCGATCTTGCTCCGGGCGATTCCATCGTTTGGGGTTAGGGTTTCGGCGGTTTCCGCGATCGCGCAGGCCACTCCCCCAAACATAACACATCCTTGAAAAGGGTGGACATACTCCTAGCAGTAAGAGGATGTAAGAGGACCTCTTCATCCTCTTCCGACACCAGGCGGGTGCGCATCTGGTGGAAGTGGATTCGCCTGCTTTTCAAGGATCAGCCTGGACTATTTGGACTCCTCCCCCTGGCCCATCAGCATTCTGGACGTCTTCCTCAACATCAACCAGACGGAGTTCATGACCTATGTGGCTGGTCGGAAAGGGGGGCATGGCCGGGTTTGTCGTATGACCCGCTCTGACAGGCACATTTTTTCCTCGGAGAGCGAGACCTATCGGGCCATTGGGGTTCTGACTTCAAGTATAGGAAGTGGTGCCGGGCGCTGCAGGGTGCCGCTGGCATGGTGCTGCCCACAATTATCATGTGCTATTTGGGCCTACGCTGGCTTTTTTTGGGGGGGAAATGCTTCACATCACCAGTGATGGAAGCTTCAGGGTGCTCCTTGGCTTGACACTCCTAAGGCCCCACAAGCCTCCCAGTGTTTTTTTTGTTTCACCTGCATGTGGGGACAAAATCTGGAGGAGGCACCTTTGTAGATGCAAATCCGTTGTGCTAGGCACCAAGTTTGAAACCTTAGGCCTTCGGCTTGTGGTGGCTCCGGCACGTGTGGGGTATCACCATCCCACGCATCTTCGGACAGACCAACACCCACCGTCAGTGTAGGCTTCCCCAAACTCTGAGTTCCGCCCCCACCATCGTGTGACTCCAATGGATCCAAACGCGCTGAAGAGCGATGGAAAGCGGCTGAAACCGGCGGAAACCCACGCCGACGCCACGACCAACGGTCGCGAGACGAGCGAGCGAGCAGCGCGGTTTCGAGAGCCCAGAGAGAGAGAGAGAGAGACCGAGGAGCAATATGCAGCCAAACATCCTGTGCGAGCCCACGCTGTGCCTTTGGAATCGATTCATTGGCAGCCACCGGGTGACATCGTTCAAAGGCCGGCTGTGGATGCGTGTGAGGTGGTGGCAGTTTGGGTCCAAAGGTAAAGACATATCACAACACACTGCTGCTTAAAAGGAATGTGCCAGAAAGGGAATCCTGGTCCTTGCCTCGGTGGTTTTGGCATGGTCGTGCCGGCTTCTATCCCAGAAGTCCCAAGACTGGGCTGGGCACGCGCGCAGACCAAGCGCGGCAGGCTCTCCGGTGCCGTTCCGGCGGAGATGGCCGTTCCGGCGGAGATCGCCGTGGCCGTGTTCGGGACCCACGCCACGCTGAGCCTCGAGCCGGTGGATATGCTGGGCCGAGCCCAGAGGACGCCTGGGCCGGTGGTGTTGGAGGCGTCCGCCAGGGGAAGGAGAGGTGGAGAAGGTCGTGTTTGTGAGAGTGTTTCTTCCCTCTCGCTCCATGCATCACGTGTATCATATCATATAACCAATTCATGCCAGTGATTATGAAGTTCACAGCTCACCACAAGCCTTGGTGGTTTGTAGAAGGTTGCCCGTTTGACCTGGACTCCTGGATGATTTGTGCCGGCTTGCCAGCAGCTGGTTGGATTTAGGAAGCATTTGCTATTCTTAGCGATGTGGGCCTTACTCCACCCTTGGTTGATGGACCAGTTCTCCTCCAAAGAGGGTATCCCCGGGATACCGTAGTTTCCCCTAAAGCTCAAGCCTCTGAAGAGGCAGAAACATGTGCATTCTCAAGTCTTGGCCCGCCCAGGAGGTTTAAGATCAAGGCCACCTTCTTTGGCATTGTTGGGGGCCCCAGCTCTCCGCGGGTCGCTTCGTTGAAATAGGGCAACGCGTTTCGGGAAGTGTGGGGCGCGTTTCGGCGCAGGAAGGGCTGATAGAGCCGATGCCCCGTTTAGAGACGGTTGTTGCAAACGTGGAGGTGATCTTCCAAATCAACTGCCAAGACTATTCCAAGAACTGTTTTTAGATGACCTGAAAGGGCATCTCCTTTACTTCGGTGGTGCCAGATGTAGTCCTTGGACTTCTAGGGTACGTATGTATATATATATAATAGATATAAGTAGTCCCTATTCTAGCAACTGCGACTCCTGGGGCGTTCTTGCAGCATTTGCTGGTTCCGGAGTTCAGATACCTCCATCCCAACACTTGCCTGGATTTCATGGCGTTGGCGGATCCACCGTGCCGATCCACTCGGACTCACCATTGCCAGATCGATTTCCACCGTGCGTGGTCACCCATCCCACCCATCCCCCTTTTTCAATACATCAGGCTGCAGGCTTCACAAGGCTCTCTGTGGGCACCGGTTCCGCCCACGTCCCACGTCGTCCCCTTTCGTCTCCGCCCGAGCCGCTTCGCCGTTGCCCCGGGTTCCGCCGGGTCCAGGAGCCCCGGTGGTGCGAGCTCCTGGGACTGTGCGACCTGGGCGCCAGCGAGGTCACACAGCTGCTGCGGAAGGCCGAGGAGGATGCGTGACGGACGTGACCACATGACGTGAAGAGGTTGACAGGAAGCTGATGGGAGGCGGACGTTGATAGAAGGCCTCTTTTTTTTTGGTTTGGGGTGGGGGGAACAACCAACCTTTCCCGAGGTGGGCAATCGGATGGGGCGGACGGGTGGACGTGGACCCTCGCTTTGAAGGACCCCTTCGCCTATCCGTGGGAGATGATGCACCTTGGCTGCCCGGTTTCGGCCTTCCTCGGCGTGAGCCACACGAAGGGGGAGGATTGCCACCGTGCATGAGGAGTCCTTCAGGTACGCGAACGCGCCCCCCTGGTCGGAGGCGCGAACGCTCCACCTTGAAAAAGATCCAAGCTGAGATTTACTCGCTGTTTGGTGAGCCAGCACAAACCCTCAACCATCTCAAACCACTGGCTTGCAATTCAGTTTGTAGGGTCTCTGCTCGACCTACCTCCACCTACCTCCTTCGTGTTTGGCTCCACCCAGGTCGCAGCACCTGACGCAGGTGCCCCTGGCACGTTATGCGCTGCTGCTCTGCACCGAGCCAGTGGCTGGCTGCCTGATGTTGCGAAGGCTGCCCCTTGCGAAGGGGCCGAGCTCGGGGAATCTGTTTGGAGTGCTGGAGCTGCTGTTTTGTTCTCGGAGCTACGTCCGTTTGTCGTTGCCATCTGTGAATGAATGGCCTTTGGAAACAGCTCTCAAGATGTGAATAGGGTTCTTCAATAGGTCCACTTCTGCAGATTTGGATGGTTTGACCTTTGCCAAAGCCCGTGGAGGCTGAGCCTGCAGATGGGGCAGCCCCTGCCCATGCTGGGTCTCTTGGCTCCAGATGCACCCCCTGAAAGCTGAGGTGTCGGAGGTGCCCCCCCCGGCGGCCTTCGCTGTTGGCGCCGTTCGGCTTCGGCCAAACAAAGCTTCTCACATGACTAAATAGCAAATGGAGCCCGGGTTCTTCTACAGCCTCCACGATGATGAAAGGGAGGGAGAGAGAGGAGAGCTGTGCACTTGTTGACCTCACCGATCCCTTTTTGGTCGCGCTTTCCCCTGGCATATTCGGCCATCCCAACACGAGGGTGGACCCCGGCCGGTCAGTTCGGCCCCATCCGCGGACTGGTGGTTTCAAGCGGGCTGAGGGTCGGTTCGAGAGGAGAGTGGCCACAGTTGAACCAATCAATGGAATCGATGGCATAGTCGAGGGCAACTGATTCAGAGCGATTTGCATCACCATGTTTTTGGGCGAGTGAAACTTGCTGTTGGGTCTCCTCCCTTGCTGTTTTTCATGGCTCGGTTTAGCTCGGTGGGCTCCGAGCGGGACAGCAGGCTACTTTGGTGTGGCTTTGCTGAATGGCTGCCCTCCCCAGGACGGGACTTGGAGACAAGTCATCGACAGGCCACCCCAATGATACGGCGGGGCGGCAAGACTCCTATGGAGTGAACTACGGTGGTGTTCCATCAACAGAACTCTGATGGTGGACATGAGAGAGGGGGGCAATGTAATGAAATGTATACAGTGATCTCCAAATAGACAGTGGCATGGTTTCCAATACATTTTCGACGTGGGGATCGACTTTTCTTCCTATTCCACCTGTCTCACCGTGTCATGGGTGTCTGTGACACTCTGGTGAACAGGACATCATCTTCAAGCCCCAGTGTACACAGCAGAAAACGATGGCTTTTTACTCTCTCTCTCTCTCTCTGATTCTCTCCATTCTCATATCTCTATGAATGCCGGAGAGGGGGGCGTCACTCCGTCGCCCCTCCTCCGGAGAGAGGGGCCCGGGCCCTGGCGGCCCAGCTGAGGCCGGGTTCTTGGGGCCCGGCTGATCCCCCCGGAAGAAGGGTCCACGTCCGTTCTTTGGGGAGAAGGGAAGAGAAGAAGTCCTCCTGTTGGTTTCGGATCTCCGTGGATTTGGGGACCTGAAACTTCGAAGTGGGTATGGACGTGTGTGTACATGTATGGCAGTGTAGGAAGATGTGGAACACCAAGTCAGTGAATTTAGCCATTTTTCTTGGAGAACGACTGGGTTAACCACTGTGGCACCATCCCAAAAAGGTTCAAGATTTTTGGAAACGATCACCCTAAATAGGGGGATACGATACTTGTTAAGCCGCCCGATGTTTTCAATACCAAGGGAGGGGAGGGGGCCGTGGGGTCAGTGCTGGACTGTTGTGCCAACCTTAGGCGTTTCAGATCATATGTTTGGCAACGCCCAAAGATAGAAACGGTTCCATTCATCATCACTATCTTATTAGGATTTGACGTATCTATCTTTTTGGGGCTTGCTAATGCTAAATATAGATAAGGCATGAGAAGGCACCTAATCACGTTCCTCCCGTCATGATGGTGCCTGCGCACTGAAGAAGAACAATCAATCAGAAACCACTGATCCCAGCTCATGCCTTGTAATTGAACATCGTTGAGTATGATGATGGTTGTAGCTTCCGGCCCTTGCATTTCTTATCCCCCTTAACACATGGCCGCGGCAAATTCCACTCTTATGGCTGGCTGGATGTTCATTGTCTTCCCACTGCACACACACACACATATATATATTTCCGGATAATAACTCGTGGCTTTTGTTGCTTATGATCAATTTAGATCATCTTGAATCCACATCGTGCTGGTTCAATCAACCCCAGTTCCCTTTCTTCTTGATTCAATCCACGGCAAGGCGGTATATACTCCAGCAAAGCTCCGCAAAACTCCTATGGCCACTGTTAGGTGCCCTGCAAAAACTAGCCGGCTACAGTCTCTATTCTGACAACATGTGTGAAATACGAAGGGGTGCCAGGATGAAGAATCTTCGAACGTGCTGCGCTCCTGAAACGTTGAATCGAAATGAAACGCCCGAAACGACATCGTGACTGACCAAGGCTCCAGGATGTCGCTCACCAGACCAGATCAATGAACTCATGCGATGGATTGTAGAGTATTTGTTCTGCTTGTTCCCAACCAGTCTGGAATGCGTCTGGGTATGCCAACTCATGCTTTCCACTAGATGCTGCTTCGAATCCTTTTCTTAGCGATGGGTAGAACAGCCGCCTGATGAGTGGTTGAACCATGGCATCCGCAAAGCTTGAACATGTAGATTTAGCTCAACATCATTTTGGCATCGTGCAGCAGTTTCGTGGATTCTGGATGGAAGGGCATCTTTGTGATGTCGTGCTGAAGAGTAATGATGGTGCCGAACATCCCGCTCACGCCGTTGTGCTATCTGCAGCCAGCATGTTTTTCAAGAAGCTGTTGAGCGGATCTGTTGTTTCACGCTAGGATGTCGTATACATGTCTCACTTACCTACTGTTTGGCTCAAGGAAAACCAGGTGCGACTTGTTGGTAGTTCTCGGTCGTTTACCTGTATCTACAGGTTATCAGCCGTATCGCCATAAGTGCGGTACGTGCTTTCTACTAGCTGTGGTCTCACCCCACCCTAGGTAGTGCACTATCTAGAGGCCATGGCTGATGATGATGGTTCCCGTGGTGACCGCTCACGATCAGGCTACGTTCCTACTTCGCCTGCGATGTCCAGTTCACCTGCTGCTGATCTCCCTGTTGTTCCGCTGGAGTTGCGTGTGCCAGTTGCGCCACCGACGTTCAGTGCACAGGGGGACCTGTTGCCTAGTGGTCAAGTACCGTCGCCTTTTCAACCTGAGTTTTCTCCTGTGATGAATGTCCAGAACGTTGATGCAAGACAGATCCATCAACAAGCAGTCTTCGTCAATGAGGATAGGTCAGCACAGGTAGCTCAGATCGCAGAGTTGCGGCATCAGGCCATTTTGGCCGAGCATGGGCAACAAGTAGCTGAGGAGGCTAGGCATTTTAGAGACGTAGTGGAGAACCAAGCTAAAGTGGCTGTCCAGGAGTCTAGGGAACAGATTGAGGCTTTAGCCAATCAACGATTGAGTGACATGAACCAAGCCCATCAAAATCAACATCTTCAAGAACAACGGGCTTACCTAGATCGCCTTTCGCTCGAACGACACACCGTCGTTGAGAACGAACGCGCCTCTGCCAAGCAAAGAGAGGATGCACTTCGGTCAGAGTTAGCAGAACAGAGTCGAATCATCAAGGAGTTGCGAGAGAGGTTTGACAACGCCTCGGGGAACCGAGTGCCTGCACCATCAGTGCAGCCACCTGGGTCTCAGGTGTCCCCAGCTTTGCCTCCAGCGAGCCTTCGCACTCAGTTGGAGAAGCCCGGGATCGAAGGCGGTGATGAGCCTCATCCATCCGATGCTGATGAAGAGGGTGGTGATAAATCAAAGAAAGACAAGAAGAAGAAAGGTAAGGATAAGAAGAAAGAGAAGAGCCCTAAGAGGGGCCGCTCGAGGGAGCGCAGAAAGAAACGCTCTCCTTCCCCATCACCATCGTCACCCAGTTCATCAGGAGGGAGTGATGACTCAAACGACTCAAGCTCTGAATCATCGCGTCTTGCACGCATCATTCGCAAAGAGTTGAAGAAGCAGCAAAGGAAGTCGAAAGACAAGGATCATGAGAGTAAAGCCAAAGAAGCTGACAAAATTCTCATTCCCAAGTTCCCCACGCCTGAGAAGTACAGAGACTGGAAGATCAAGGTGAGGGACAATATTGCTGCAGCTTCAGCGAAGCCGGATGAAGCAAGATCTTGGGTCGGGAAAGTATACAAAGATTCCCAAACTATTGATGCCTTGGATGATTCAGAGGGATTCGCAACCCTCGACGCAAAGCTTCTTGCAAGCTTAACCAATTGCGCTGAGGGGGACCTCGGTCGGCAGATTGCTACATTCAAGGAGTTGCGTGCTCGTGAAGACAAGAACGTGAAGGGTAGACACTTGCTCCTTCGGTTCCACGAGTATTTTGCCACAAGCATCAAGCATGGAGCAATCTACGGACTCGAAGACCTCATGTCCGTCAAAATGGTCAACGATGACCTCAAGGGCTTTATAAATAAATGGGATAGCGTTCTTGCCGGAATGAAAAAGGAACCAGAAAACAGTGTTCTGGAAGCCTATTTCCACCTGGCAGTGAAGCGTTTCAAGCCGCTTGAGCATGATTTGGCCTTGTACGACCGTGCAGCCGATGGAAGCAAAGAAAGAACATATGACTTCCTGATCACTGCTGCCCGGGCCTACCTCGAACGGAAAAGGTTGGAAAAGATGCGCGACGCCACGAAGCGTTCGCTCGGGTCCAAAGACACAACCATGCCAGCTCCGGAGGAGAAGAAAGGCATCTGCTACGAGTTCCAAAAGACCGGAAAATGCAAGCGCGGATCATCATGTCCTTACAAGCACGAAAAGGCCGCGAGAAAAGCAAAGGAAAGGGAAAGGGCAAGGATCGCAGCCAATCTCGGTCAAGATCGCTGACACCAGGATCTCGCAAGGAGACTTGCAAGTTTTGGAAGGCAGGACATTGCCACCGAGGAAAAGACTGCGCATTCCAACACCCTGAAAAGACTGTCCCGGCGAAGAAAGAGGACAAAAAGAAGAAGAAGAAGAAAGACAAGAAACCTCGCAAGCGAAGCAGCTCACGAGGATCATCAGGCTCCGAAAACTCAACTGGCTCTGAGAGTCAGAGGAGAAAAGGTGGGAAGTCTTCTTCTTCCAATGCACCGGCAGCGGTATGCCTCCTTCGAGCAGTGGTCATGGCCGCAGTGGCCTCTCAGGGATCCTCCGTCCTCATCACTCGCCCGCTGGGAAGCGTGGCCATGCCAGTCCTTTCCGCATCAAACACTATGTGCACCGATTTTGACAACACAGAAAACATTGACAGTTTTGTTACGCAAAGAGTTCGTTTTGACGATCAACCAAACGTTTTCAATCATGCTGTTGAGTCTTCTTCCAGTTGGAGATCCGTTCAACCCCGGAGTAAGAAGAAACGAAGACCCTTTACACCAGGTCGACCGGAGCATGCTGAGGCAGTTCGTGTTGCCACTGAGGACGCATCCATTGCAGCATCACACCTTCAGAATGCTGTCAGGAACGAGCTGTTGTCCTTGCCGGCAGAATGTTCGTACCTGTGCAACTCTGATATAGGTTGCATCAAGTGTTTTGAGAGGAGGTCATGTCCAACAGTGCCCGCCACTGAGATTGCATGGATTGCAGATACTGGCAGCGCACACGATCTTGTATCTAGACACATGCTACATTCGGATGAAGTGTCACAATCGTCCAAACCGGTCAGTCTTCTTACTGCCAACGGAGTCTTTCAAGCCACTGACCAAGCCAGAGTCAATGTCCCCGTGTTGGGAACTGATATCGATCCTTATGTCTTGGAAGATAGCCCAGCCGTCGTATCGGTAGGACAACGCTGCATCGACGCAGGATGGAGCTTTCATTGGCCCGCTTACAGTAGGCCGTACTTCAAGAAACCAGACGGAACCAAAGTCA